TGAAGCGAACAAGTTCCACTTGTAGTTGAAGGCCAGTGGGAGCACGAAAGGGAAGGAAAGCTCCACTCGTTCAACCCATTGACGATCTGCGTGTATTGCGGCACCCTTATTTTCGTATTTTCTCATCAACAGCCATCTATCCTTCAACGATTTCAATACCAGTGACGAGCAAATTGTTTTTCAGACCCATCGAAGTACATAGACGGTCTCGGAACTCGAAAAACGCTAAATAAATAAAGCAAAACTAGTTTGCTACGTTTGAGAGTGTGATATGACAGATGGTCGTCAACATGTCAACAAAATGTTGCAAACGCTTTGAGCCAGCTGATTGAGAAATGTGGAGAATGTTCCTTCTCCAACAAGAAGGAGCGCTTCTCATGAGGCACAGGCGTCATGAAAAAATTTTCAAACCTCAACGCGCGGAGGTGAAGGAGGAGGAGGAGACACGGCAGGCGCAGGAAGGCCGAGCGCTGCGCCCTGAAAGAGTCGTGTGACTTTGTCGTCTCACGTCGAAAATTACGCCTACAGAGATCTGGCCTCACTGATCGAAGCGAAACTCAAAATCGCATATAATGTTGGGATGCCGCGCTAGTGCATCCGAAGTGAGTAATGTCTCAGACTCCGCTTTGAGATATTGATCTTACTTTATGGTTATAAAGATTACCTGGGCAGGCGGAACTTGTCCAGCTAGAGCAGTCTGTCCTGGCAGAACAACAGGAGGTGGCGTTGGAGGCTGCGAAACGCCTGCAAAATGCCTTGCTGGCACTTGAGGCATCTGCCCTTGCGGGAAATGGAGACCAGGTGGGAGCTGCTGGATGGGACCCAGCTGGGGTGCAGCCGGATTTGGAACATTTCGAAGAGAGGTACCGCCACCAGAAGGAGGAATGCCTGGCTGCACTTGTACGGTCAGTTGAGGGGCAATCAAACCAGGAAACATAGGCTGAAACTGATTTAGTGGCAGAATGGCACATCTGATTGAAAGAAGAAACTTACCGTCGGGCTTTGGGTTGGTGGCAATGTGAATGGCTGTATAACTGGAGCACCAGCTTGGCCGAGAGCAGGCTGAAATGAAAGCGTTTTCAGTTTCGCTGCTGCTTTCAAAGCCTCTTAAATACTCCAAAGAGTTAGAAAGATATCTGTCCAACTCACGGGCTGGTAAGCGTTCTGAAGAGCGTTCGATGTTGGAATCATGGGATTTGGCGGCAGCATGGACTCTCCCGCATTGGCCTGTATATTTGTTATGTACTTCTTTTCAAATATGGTAAAAGGCAATGTATGAAAAGTTAACACTTCGTTGTAATTCTGAATGTCTAACGCGTTTTTTGCCCCCTGATGAATAGTTTGCTGCGTTCAGGTCACTAATATCGAATTTCTGAGGGAATCTCTTGGAGTTTTAGGCATGAGCGCTTGTAGTATTCGGCCGGCTCACAGTTAGCGAACAATGGCAGGCAGGTTGATATTTTAGCAGCAGTTTGCAAAGTATGTGCGCCGCTTTACGATGAGCCTCAACTTCGATATGCGTAGCATAGGAATACCACTCTGCTATGGCCTCCTACCCCTTGCAAATGTCTCTGTGGCTAACTTTACAACTTTTCTGAGGACCTGGCACTGGAAAGAAGGCTTACCCAACCGGGAGAGATTCCCTTCTCAAACCCAAACTAAAAAACCGTGATTCGAAAGGACCTAAAATTGTTATCATGAGGTTTTAACAGATGTTTGTTTTATTCAGTATATAAAAGGGAGGGGAATAGCGGAATGACGTAGTTTTAGCCTCCTGCTCGTCTTCTCGTCTATCGACCGTATTCAATAAATATATAGATGAATCACCGGCAGTACATTCTAAGGAATACAAGAGCCGAATCCAGTACACAGCTGAGGCTTGTTATAGGCGAGTAAGGTGGGCCATAAAACAGTACCTGACCTGAACCATTGTGGCTCCATAGGAAAACAATGCATTCCTGGTATTCACGGGATGCGCCAGTCTTACCATTAGAGAACCTTCAACTGTGGAATATTGTGGAAAAACCAACAAACTGATGAAGTGTGTTCTGGTGCACAACGACAAAGCAGTCACTAACCAGGAAGGTCTTTCAGGGCGTGACAAGCTTTTTGAAAACGGTCTTCTGCATGATATAGGGGCAGATGGAGACCACAGAACCATGTTTCATTTTTCCTGAACGGCCCTCTGAATACCAGAAAAGGGTGGTCCCTAGTTCGATTCCTCCGTGGTAACAGACATAAGACATACTTTTGCATTTCGTGTTGACGTCTCAAAATTTGCGCAAAATGGGGTATAAACAGTGAGTGCCAAATTTATGATAAGGGCTGTCATTCAGCGTCAGTGATCCTCACAAGTAGACTTCGATTGAAAACCGGTGATATAAAACATGATGATATTATATGATGCAAAGGGCCAATTTGGAAAAGCTTGGCATTCCCTGGAAGACCGACCTTCCTGGAAAGGTTTTACCTGAGCAAGCTCGTGAAAGTTTCTTCACATTGAAGATTCTAGACGTTTTCAACGAAGAGCTATAGGAATCAAAACCTTACGGCCTAATTAGGTTATGCGCCACATGTTTTCTCTAGAAAGGAATAAGATTTGTAGAGTGCACTTGCCTGTGCGCTAACTGTGTTGGTGAAGATATCCTGCTGAGGCCTGCCGATAGGAGGCTTGCTGTAATTGGACGTAAACATGACTCAGATTCACGATATTTCCAAGAGTATCATTATTCAAACCAATTTTAGTGCATGAAGGAGATGAAGGGGTAAGGAATGGTAAGCGATGAGAAAGCCCGCAGACAATGATAGTCTTGGTCGTGGGTCCATCCTGATCAACCACATTTCTGACAAATTGTCGTAAAATGGAAGAAGGTGCAGAGAAGATACTCTAGCATGTAGAACAGCTTTAGCCACTGCTCATGTAGCCATGAGGTAAGCAAACCAGCCCTTTTGGCGTTTCTGCTGGGGCCGTATGCTGAATGTTGGGGAGGGGATGGGGTCCCCGAGGTCGACGGACTACTTCAACTCGGTCGGTACGGTAGGAGAGTATGACGCAAGTGGTGCAGCTGGTCCAGCAGCTCCGCCAAAAGGGCTGGTTTGCTCACCCCAGGACTAAGCCTTGGAGAGGGGACGTCCGTCCTCTCTTTAAGGCTTAGTTCTGAGGTAAGCATCAAATTGAGGCGGTTTTAAGGACCGAGTTGAAGTAGTCCGTCGACCGTCGGGGACCCCATCCCCTCCCCAACATTCAGCATACGGCCCCAGCAGAAACGCCAAAAGGGCTGGTTTGCTTACTTCTGTAGCCATCTTATGGGCCGACAAAAGTCGAGTAACGGTTCAACATAAGAAAAGCATCAAATTCACGAGCCTTGGATAAAGTGCGGAACCAATCATGCTGTGATTACACTTGATTGGATGA